GGGGAATAAAGTCACTTAAATTGCTTTTGTCTTAGATAGTTTGTACCATTATCAGTAGTAGAAAATATTATTAAAAGTGCTCCTCCTCCCTCTAAATTACACAACTTCTCAGATTCATGTTCCTCAGTTGTAAAATTTGTTGCTTCTTGAAAAGCACTGTAATTTTCAGCCTCAAATTAAGTTTAATGGACATCTCTGCTTGAAATAAGCCCTCCTCCTCTTCTTCCTCCTCCTTCATAACTAAGTAAGAAAAAGGTATATTTATTGTAGGGTTTTTATTAGATGTTGAAACTTTTAAAAGGAATTTTATCTTTAGAAAGCTTGCCTTCAGCAGGTTGCTTTGGTCCTCACTACTCTGCATTTTTATAAAGTAGACTTCCATAGTTAACAAATATTTCCTAGGGAGTAAAATTATTTTTTCTTTTTTGAGATGACTTGAAGATTGAGTGTATTTGACATGTAGTACTGTAAGCAATGGTCAACTTGATGGAGTGTGCTTCCTTTAATTAATTTTTGCCCCTGGGCATTAATTTGATCACCTTAATAATTCATCTAGCAACCGTATGCATGTAAAGACTTAGTGGTACCCTCCAGGTTGAACATAATAGAACCTGATCCAGTGTTGATCCTAGAAGAACTAACCTGTTCTGGAGTTTTACAATCCCCTTCTCCTCCCCCACCCTCATGGCCTTGTGTATCACCTTTTATTCACCCATTCAGTTTGGGTTTGTTTTTCTGAAGAAGTTGTTCCTGGTGATTAATTATGAACTTTCTGGCCCCTGTTTTCTTGGTGCTTATTTATACGAAAATGTCATTTTATTTTGATCAAACTGTGTATTTGATTTGGGAGAGAATTGTCAGTGTTAGATTCATCTGTCAACTCTTGCATGTTACTAGTGCCATAACTTTTCTATATGATGGACTTGACTGTTGGAAGCTATGAACTGTTACATCTTACGATTATAAATCCAACTAGAAATTTCAAAAGCAAAAATGTCCTGATTAGATAATTTATTTTCTAGATTGTGATTCTGAATGCTATTACTTTTAAAAACAATCTTCATGCTTTTAGAATTGAGGTTCATCTTGCATATAGCCTTATAAGAAGTCGATGGCATATGTAGGCTTGAAATTGGTTTATAAAAGATCATCTTATCTCTTATGTACTCTGCCTGCCTCCACTATTTTTCCCCCAACCCTGTCTAAGGGATACTACTTTTTCTTAATATAGTGATTACTTCAGATGTTAATGTTTATGAGATCATGTTAAAACCATATATATATTTTTTAAATTTAGAAAACATAATCACATAAGGCATAAACTTACCTTATTTATGCAAAATAATAACATTAAGATTTTGCCCTGTGCCACTATATAGCTCATTTATTCATTTTTTTCATTTTAAATTTTGTATTAGCACCTATAACGGTTAATAAAATATCAGCAGTTAAAAGACGGTACTGTTTCTCTTGATTCAGACCATCCTGCTGACATACTTCATTGCCAGCCGCATCTATAAACAGACTTTATTCAGGTATTTAATGGAATTAGGTTAAACTGGCCACTAGTGATGGGTCATTAGCCACAGAGAACTGGAGTGAAGAGAGCTCAGGATATGGTATATCCACCTTCAGTATTCCTTTTAATTTTTATGAGAAGATGACCAGCCACACAAGTGTAAGTAGGTATGTAGTTTGGCTTTATAATCAACTAAAACAGGGAATAGCTTTGATGTGACACATGCAATTGTTGTATATGTGACTAATTAATAATAAATAGCA